TGTGTGTGAGAGCAGGTGTGTGTGTGTGTGTGTGTGTGTGTGTGTGTGTGTGTGTGTGTGTGTGTGTGTGTGTGTGTGTGTATAAGTGTATGTTTGCGTGCGTGCGTAGGTTGGTCACAACCAATCTATGTCATGAGGAAGAGCATGGCTTTTGACAGTTGGCTGTGTAAGCCTCTGATTCAAGAGGACAGAGAGGACCATGACTGTAACCCCATCGAGACACCCACACATCACTGGACTATATTTCAACTGGTGGAGGCAGAGTGTATTAAGAGGGCACTGAGCATCGTCACGGTAAAGACATGAGTCTGAAACTAACAGTTATTGCTCGACTGCAACCTGCACTGCATGGCAGCATGTGTTCAAATATGTGAAAACATTTCTGTAGCTGGCAAGGATGTTTCGGGCAAATTGTTGAAAACAACTTGCTGGTGTTACTTTGGTGCACGTTTCAAACAGAGAAGAAGTATAATGTTGCATGTTCCAACAAAGCAGGAACGCTTTTTGCTCTTAAAAATAAAACATTCGTCACTGCTAACTTATCAGAAATACTATGTTTAAAAGAACAATAAAAGAAGTTGCCTTGGTCATGCATCGGTCAATAAAGTCGGAGCGATTAATATTCTTTCATCAGAAAAAACTTTTTTATGCATCAAATTAAATCGGTTTGTGTAAACAGTTATAAAGTTTTGAATTGTGTTCACTCGTAACAAATGTCAAAAGTACTGAAAAGTTAATAACAAGGTACACACCAAACCGTGATGTTTTTTTTTTTTCTGCATACTGTGACACCACTACTATTTATGAGACTTTAACACATTATTTCAGATGGATCACTTCCATTAAAAATACTTTTCTTATTCTGCACGTAACTTTTGTCAGTGCCCTAATTCTTGGCACAGAACAAACTAAGGCATGAGATGAGGCATGAGATGAGGAAAAAAAGGAATTTAGGTCAGTCAAGTGTCTCACAGGTCCATTTCTTCCATACCTAAAGCTATTGCTTTCCAACGGTCTCTCACCGGCTCGCCACTTAAAAAGGATACAAACCGCAGTGCATGATTAAGTCATCTAAAAATGCAGCTCAAAATCCGATTTCCATAATTTCATTTGTGCGTATGTACGTAGTGGCCAGTGAGCAAGAAAAGCTTGCTTTTTGTTGTTAACATTCCCATACATGTCCATTTGGAAATATTGCATCAAACATATTTATTCGATTATAAAGTCTATTAGCGGGCGTTTAAGTGGTAGGATGACAAGCTCCTCCCTTTGTGCTGTAAAACACACGCAGAAACACATACGTAGACTTTTTTTTTTCCTTAACGTCATAATTTCCTGCTGTAAGGGACTATGCAGATACATTTGTGAAAGAGTATACCTCTCTTTAAGTTCCGCGTCTGTAAAGTTGTTTTCCTCCTTCAGTGCCTGGTATCTATCCCACCTCAACAGCCTGGTGCCATCATAAAGATCCAACTCCCGGTCATGAAGTAACCTGCAGCATGTAAGACTGGTGAACTTTGGCTTCTCTACAACAATACTGAAATGTGTGATAGATGTTGGTCTTACCTGGAAAGGACAGCCAATGTTCCCAGGTTGACCCTGTGTATACCATCCAGCAGCAGCAGCTTGCCCTCCATGGCAGCAGTGACCAGCGGTGACGGACGCCATGCCGTGTCGCCATTGGGGAGCGTGAACCTTTGCTGGAGGAGGTCCCTGGCTGTCATATCCTGTCACAGGCACAACGAAATCATTAAAAAACAAACATTAAAATGTAAGGTGAAAATGGCATACTATATATAGAGGATTTTTTTTTTAAAGCATAGAAAGAACACTGTGAGAGAGACTGATTTAGTGGCCAGAGTTCATCGCCATTCCTTCATTTTACATACCACCTGTCATTATTCAAGTTGTGGGTGTGCTGGAGTCTATCCCAACTGACTTCTACCATGCTTCACAAAAATAATGTGCCTTTTCACCCGGTGTGTCTCATGTATGATTTTCTTCTTTAATAGAACTGCTCACTAATATTGCGCCTATAAATATGCTGCGCCTAACGGTCCATAAAATACGGTAGCTGTTGTCATATTTATTTTTTTACCTGGTAGAGCATGACAGGCTCAATGCTATAACCCAGCATCTCAGCAAACTGTTTAGCAATCATCGATTTGCCACAACCCTGAAACATACAGAACAAGATTACATTGAAGCAATAGTTCACCATAAACTGCATTTGTGTATGTGTGTGTGTGTAGCACCTTGGTTCCAATGAGACACATGTCCTTCACCATATGAGACTGCATCATGTCGGCAATCAGCTGAGAGTGGCTGGGGGTGCTGATGAAGTCGTGGCAACTGTTGGGTGGCCGGGGCTCCTTGGTGCCTGCAGGGACCTGATTGTTCATTTGATGGATTTGGACACAACAAATACAGAATAATGTGTTAATATTATTTTTACTACAGTGGCATGATATCAATATAAATAAAACACATTTTATGATTTATCATCAACATTAAAAAAAAACATTATTTAAAGCCACTGGCAGCTGGTAGAGATTGTATCTGAAAAAATAATTGAGCAAAAGTAATTCGTGACAAATATTTCAATACATCAATATTCTCTTTCTTTGTTTTTCTGAAATATCAAATATAATTTCATGCAAAATACATTTTGCGCTTCCCTATTAGCTTTTTGTGTAGGAGCTCATGTCGACAATTGAGTATAGATTGTACCTATTTCATACAACATTGGACCAAAATGCAAAAACTAGTGAGATGCATAAAGTAGCTCTCGAAAAATGTAGGTGTTTACATTGACAAAAATGAAGCCATGAGAGAAGCATTGAATATGTTAAAAGTTTGTAACTGACAAGTGTTTGTACATTTGGGCTATACTCTGCTTGTTGGCACATTTTGAGTATATGAATGTTTTGTTTTATTTACAACCTCCTGACTATTTCCCAGCTGTGAGGCGAATAACAATCTTATTCACAGGGCTAAATAAAAATAATCTAAATAATAGAAACCAATTTGATTATGAAGCATGCAGTCTTACAATGCAACCACAACAGTTAAGAAAAATGTAAATGTACTGGCAGACTATTTTAGTGTCTGCATTACATTTATATTACATTAATATATTTTTTTCTATAGTTTTAACTGGGGATCTGTACTGAAAACGGCCTTTTTTTTTTTTTTTAAATGGCATGGATCGATTTGGTCAGTACGGTATTTCTAAGTTGAGTCTGTGCAAGAGTGGAAGCGTTTCCGATTATCTGCGAAGCACGTGAACGTGGCAGTGCACGCACACCAGCGTAATGATGTCTCCCAGTCATGCAGGAGTTCACTCATACTAAAAATAAATTTCCAGGTTTGGAAGTGAGCTGAACTCGTACTTCCTAGCATGCTTTGGTTGGGTGTGGGGGCGTGGAACAGTTGACAAGGAGAACCTCCATCATCAATGTACTTGCATTGATGATGGAGGTTCTCCTTTCTCACTTGCGAGGGCATTACAGTAAGTAAGTATACTGTAAAAAAACATTAAAATGTAAAAAGAAAATAAAAATGATAAAAAAAGGTGTCTACCTGAATTCTAACATCTTTATCTGCAACGCGCAAGGTGACGTCTGCATAGTCCTCCGAGCCTGCTGTTTTGGACACACTGATAACGGCGCTGCTCGATGTCTTGCTGCGGCCATCCAGAAGCTCAAATTTCTGTGTAAAAACCATAAAATCTGCATGACTCATTCAGGCATTTGTCTGACAACTCACCAGTTGCAGAGAATTGTAGGCAAACAAGCCGATACATACTGTAGACCACTGACAGAAAGCTAGAAAGCAGAAAGTCAAAGACGGTATCCTACACTGAGCACCGTCTCCACAGCGCTGCACCCGTCCTTGCCCAACATGCTATGGTAGGGGTAAAGTCTCTGGACCAGCTGCTGCGACGACATCATGGGGAAAACATTCTATGCAAACACAGGGCAGGATTCATTAGACCAGCGCTCAACAAGTACGGTCCTTGAATGCCCCTATGCTGCATGTTTTAGACATTTCCCTCCTCCAGCACACCTGATTCAAATGGTTAACTCATCAGCAAGCTCTGCTGAATCTTGATAATAATCCTGATCATATCATTTGAATCAGGTGAGTTGGAGGAGGAAGGCATGCAGGATCAGGGCCCTCGTGGACCGGACTTGGTGACCCTTGCATGAAAACATCTGATCTGAATACAAAGCCCTTTTATCAGAGAGGAGGAGAGCAGAGGTTTAAATGTTTCTTTACCAGTACATTAACGCCATTAAGGAGGTTATCCACAGGAAAGTCAGGAAGGCCCAGGTTGGCTGATTCCTGGGAGCACAGTGTAGTAGCAAGTGACAGAAGCTGGGACACCCTGACACAAGGACAAACTGTGTGAGGAGGGTTCAATTACAGTATGGGTGTGTGTATGGGCGTATGTATAATAAAAGAGTAAAAAAATTAAGAACAGTAGTATATAATATATACACAACACAACACACACACACACACACACACACACACACACACACACACACACACACACACACACACACACACACACACACACACGCACACAAAGGTCACCCTCAGACTTAATATTCATCAGCCATTTACTGTTGTAGCGTGCACGCGTGAGGGAGGGGGAGGCCTGAGAGAAATCCGGAAGTTTGTCTGTGTAGCAGTGCGCAACTGTTTGAGGAGGAATTGAGTGCACAACAAAGAATCATGATTTGAGTTTGATGGGGTACTTAAAAAAGATGTGCCGGGTTCAATTCCAACTCAAGCCTCCCTGTGTGGAGTTTGCATGTTCTCCCCCAGGCCTGCGTGGGTTTTCTCCGGGTACTCCGGTTTCCTCCCACATTCCAAAAACATGCATGGCAGGCTGATTGAACACTCTAAATTGTCCCTAGGTGTGAGTGTGAGCACGGACGGTTGTTCTTGTCAATGTGCCCTGCGATTGGCTGGCAACCGGTTCAGGGTGTCCCCCGCCTACTGCCCGAAGACAGCTGGGATAGGCTCCAGCATGCCCCGCGACCCTTCCTTGTGAGGATAAAGCGGATCAGAAAATAGATGGATGGAAGGTGGAGTACTCAAACTCCTTACCACACTTTTGCTCCACTCTTCCCGAATATCGAAAACAGTCCAATAGTGCGTTGTCTGGATGACTACTGTACAGTACTACCTAACCTAAACTATGACCTAAATCAGGGGTGCCCATTACGTCGATCGTGATCTACCGGTAGATCTAGGACTTGTCCCAATTAGATCCGAAAGGTATAGAGGAGGAAGAAAAAAAAAAAAAAAAAAAACAGTGTGTCTTTGTAGAATGTTAGTCATATATTTTTTGTGTTAATGCACACTGCACCCTAATCATCCTATCAGTCTCATTTTCCCAAAGAAAGATTTTAAAAATAAAATAAAATAAAGCATATAAATCTTTAACCTACGGTGGCGCGTGACTACGTCAGTGGAAGTTGTTACCGCCCAGCAGTCTGCAATTGCAGCTTGTGATCAGAGCTGTTGCGCTATATTTTGATCATCATTATTCTCATTCAGAGTTTGCTTCGTGTACAATTCACCGAGGGCACGGGCAAAGAATAGGAATCTAGAGGGCTGAGGGAAGCACTTTAAAACGGTACGTGTGAGCTACGACAGTCAACAGGCTGCAAAAGTGCATCGCTTGGTTCCGTGTTTGGCTTCTCATCATGGCGCGCATGCGTGCGTGCGTGCGTGCATGCGCGTGCGCGAGTGTGTGCGTGCGTGCGTGTGTGCGCGCGCGCGGTAAGGGGCGATCCGGGGAAGTTAGTTGAACAAAAAGTAGATCTTCGGTCCAAAAAGTTTGGGCACCCCTGACTTAAATTATTTCTACAGTATGTTAAATAAACTAACCCAGTGGTTCTCAACCTGGGTTCGATCGAACCCCAGGGGTTTGGTGAATCGGTCTCAGGGGTTCGACAGAGCCTCTGCCATGGAAGTTAAGACACACTCGACTCAACATGTCAATTAGTTATGACACGCCCGCTGCAGATGATCACATTACATCGCTTGTCCAATCAGTGCTGCGGGAAATTTAGTTGAATTCATATGCATCACGGAACGTAATGGGATTCAGCGTCCTATCTGCATGATAGGCCATGCCAAGTTGAGCAACTCAAAACTGAAGGAACACTTTATCAAGTATCAAGTACAACTTTATTGTCAAATGTTTCACTGATTTTTATGTTTCACTAATGAAAGGTTAGGTGAATGTTCATATGAATTGGTTGGGTTCGGTACCTCCAAGAAGGTTAAAAACCACTGAACTAACCACATGCTATGATAAATCACTCACTGAAAATCTACGTAAAGATATTCGCAAACGCTACAATTTCAATTCCAGTTCGCTACGGAGGCATGTACGAAACTGGCAATTTACCTTTCTGCCGCAATGTTCGGTCCTGCCGCATATAACAGCTCCAACTGGTCCTGAAGATAAAAAAAGTTTTGTTGTTGCTACCGTATCCTTTTTTTACGTGTTAAATGCCAGTGGGTGACCGTACCTTAAACGGGAGATAATAGATGTCTCTGGCCTGGAAGCGAGATCGGAGAGGAGGATCCAGTGGGTTGCCTTTGTATTTGGGCACAGGTAGACCAAGGGCGATGACCCGAAAGTCCTCGCTAACGCGGACGATCTTCCAACTATCAAGCTCCTCTTTTGTGTGCTCCTACAGGTCGGAAAGGAAACAAACAAATGTTAAAAAAAAAGAAATAAAAATAGCAACAAAACAAGGTCTTTGAGATCTTGTGCCGGTGAGTTTCTTGTGCATATGCATCCACTAATCGATATGCGTACTGTATCGCTTTCTATTCTGGTATGATACTGCAAATACAGTGTCTCAAATGAAGTATCAAACGTATTGATGTTTAAGTTTGAGAATCGATCTTAGTGGTATCAGCGTCATTGACAGCTCAAACAGATCGATTCCTGCACCTTTCAAGCAGACGTAATGGTCGTCTTTGAAATAACACTCCATTTTGGGCAAGTTTGAGTAGAGATACAGTAGAGCTATATTTGTTTTTTTTTAATTCTTTTTTGGGGGGAGGGGGGCACGTTGATACTGATTATTAGTTGTCAAGGAGGCCGCTAACCAATGTTTGGAGCCAATATTCCTTTCCAGTAAAGGAAAATATTGGTATCAAAATTTCTGAAAATACAAACTCTAACCCGTCACTTGTCTCACAATATACCGTTTATTGAACAACTTTTCTGATTTAATAAATGTTTGTTTTTTTTTTTAATCTTATCACGAGACACATTTGTTTTTAAATTCTCACAAAAAAAAAAGTTCAGGGAGCTCAATGGTTCATTAGCATGTCTGAAAAAGTTCAATGAAAACTTAAACAAGTAAATAGCTCCCTACAATTTTAGACAGTAAATAACATTTTCAAAAATGTCAAAATAACTGAAATGTTAAATTATCATTGTTTTAATTTCAAATTAAAGAGATACAAAGCGTCTTGGGGTCAACAACCATCTCTCTCAGGGTTAACTGAAAAATTAAATAAATACTTCCCTGAAGTTGACAGAGTTGCATTTGATCTCTTATCAACCGTCAGATTTGATTAAAAAGTCCTATGCCGATATTTATCAAAATACACAATGTACAGTCATGTACAAAAACAGAATATACAATCACAACAACGGTTTTTAAAGTGAATTTCATGTTGGTGTTCTGACCTCCAGCAGCTTGTCATAGCGCTCGGCTGCCATGAGGAAGCGTCCGTCCTCCAGCTGCATCTCTCTGTTCTCCAGCAGGTTGTTGAGGACGGGAAGAACGTTCCTTTCGGCCTTCTCCAGACCCTCCAGGAGAAGAACTCGCCCTTGAGTGGCTGCCCTGACGGCGCACTGAGAAGAAAAGAACGAAGAGTACGCCATTCTCCTACGCTGACTACAAATGAGACAAACATCCAACTACAATAAATCCCTTTGATATATTATTGCGCTCACAAAACCAAAGTTTTATTTTTAGAAGGATTTTTTTTTTTTTGCCACTAAATGTAGTATGCGGGACAACTCTTTGTTTACATTGCGTGTGTGTGTGTGTGTGTGTGTGTGTGTGTGTGTGTGTGTGTGTGTATATATGCACATGTTCAGTTGAAAAACCCAAAAGCTTCTCTTGACGTCAGCAGGCAGGAAACTTAAGCAGTCTAGGGAGACCACAGAGCCAGCGCGCATGTAATTAGGTGTGCGTGTAATGTGCATACGGGACGTTGTGTGGGAAGCGCAGCAACAGAAACGACTATAGCGAGGTCAGGATGTTCTAAATTTAACTGCGAGCCCATTTTCAACACTGTAATGAGATAATCATTTGGTAATCTAAAATGAAACAGGACAAGGGGCCGGGTTTGAAACTAGCATAGCGTTGCTGGGACGGCTATTCTTAGCAATAAAGTAACCCTGCACAATCTAATCCAGGGATGATTGCTGAGACCATTTCGATATACTGGACAGTAAAATAAGCCTTCAAGTATTTCTGAACCCAATGCAAATGTTTCTCCTTGTGAGATTGATTGGAGGTGGCAAAAAAAAAAAAAAAAAAAAAAACGGCCCTTGGGGGATACTGCATTGAGAGGTTCTTTTGACACCAGCAGAGGCTCATCAGTGGCTCCTTTACAACTGCTCTCTCAATACGATGCATCACAGAAGCGTTCCTTTTTTCATTTTCCTTTATCAGAACAAACTCGTTTGCTTTCCCAGTCCCATGAATATTATCAAAGAGTATAATTTTCTTAAACTGTCCAGGCAGTGTTTCCATTCCTTTGGCAAGGCAAAGGACTATTCCATGCTTTTTTTTTTATCAGCAGAAAGATGCTTTTACAGCATTATGCATAAAAACGGTGATCTTCTTAATGTCTGTGGAACAATCTAATTGCATGCAAGTAGGCTTACCTAATCTACTTAAACTAATTATCAAATCCGTTACATTCAGAAAGAAAAAAAAATGTCGCCATCGGTCAGAAACCTGTCTAAATTTAGACAGTCTATATCATCAGTCGGCATCCCGCGGCTCCGGAGCCTCATGCGGCTCTTTCATCCTTATAATGTGGCTCTGATTGGCTTGGGAAAATAAATTACTAAAAATTTTTTTTTTGTATTTAATTGAAGTGTGTTTTATTTGTGTTAGTTTTTATATTATTTTAGTTCTAAATTTGAAGACTATTGTGATCTTGAAATATTAAAATATTAATTAAATTATTTGATATTATTTTTTCGTCGCTCAAAATAGACGTCACACTGCGGAAGCTGGTATACCCGCTGAAACGGCGTCTATTTTGAGCGACTTTCAACCCCGGCAAAGCCAATGGAGAAATGTAAGAAAAGAAAAATATCTCAAGAAAATAGAACATTCAATGATGCCTGGGCAGATTCATTTGCATTTACCTCGGGCGAGAGTGGCCTACCAGTATGCCTAATTTGTGGAGAAAAACTGGCTAACAATAAACGGTCAAATGTCGCAAGACATTTTAACAATACACACAGAGCCTTTGCTGAAAAATATCCAGAGGGAGAAGAGAGGAAAAAAGCTGTTTCGGAACTGATGCAGAAGGCTGACCGGACGAAAAATCAATTCAAGAAGTGGGTGAAGTCTGCAAATTCAACTACATATGCAAGCTTTGTGGCCGCATTCAGACATTAGTTATTTTTTCAAGAATTCAAAATGTGTTCATTACATCGGTAAAATTTAATTTTCTCCGTAGCACTTCATAAGACATAACCACACTATAGTTGTTTATACAAAGTGTAAAGGTAAGAAAAAGCAATATATACAGTGTTATCTTCATTTTAGATAAGATAAATGGATATAAGGATGACGCCTCATGGCATTTTTCTGCTTTCGTTTGCTACATGGACAATTTAAATTCAGCTTTTTAATTTATATATATATATATATTTGAACACATCTGTAATATAGTTCAGTCTCCGTGATGTGCGTCTGCTATTTGTACAAATGAGTTTGCTCTTTTTGTCGGAATGCTGAAGCCTCAACGAACATGCCATTTTTTTCTTTTGTTGTTGTTTTTTCCCCCCTATAAAGTGATGCTTCTGGAGAATTCAGGATTCCGCCTGACGCCAGCGATATGCAAAAACTAAAATGGTTATTTAAAATAAATCCATCAGCCATAATAATTCATAACTGGATAGTAAGGTTGTGTGACCATCACAAATGAAATCAAACACAAAAGTCACAGAAAATATGAGATGTGTCAGAAATGTTCCAGGACATGTTTTACAAACGATATCTGCCACGCTTTACATGCCCCGGAAAGATTCTTCTGGAATTTTCCGCAGGTCTGTCGTCACTGCTGTCTTAATTTTGTCCACGTCTTCAAAACCGGCCCCTTTGATGACCTCGTTGTGCACGGACAAGATGAAAAAAATAAAATAAATCACAAGGAGCCAGCTCAGGTTATTAGGGTGGTTCATCTCGGGCAGGATACGCTCAGAGCAATGTAAGCAGGCACATTGTCATGGTGAAGTATGAGTTGCCCTGCCACGAACGACACTTGCCTCTTCTTACGCACTGACTGACGCAAACATCATAAGATCTCTTTGTCGACATGCTCGTTGATCGTGTCGCCCACAATAGAGAAGAGTAAAAATGATAGATTATAGTTTGGATTTGAAAAGTGAGTTTTTGACACCAGTCCTGGAAATTCTCGAATACCTCTCGTACAAGGCCCATTTGGTAGCCTCGGCCCTTTTAACAACTCACCATTAAAAAAAAAAAAAAAAAAGTATACCTGTATAATGAGACTTACACCATCATGAAGTAAAGTTTTTTTAATGACTCTTTTGTACGTGTTCAGTGTTGCTTTCATCAGTCACTTAACACTGGGTCAGCGTGGAGCACAGAGGCTTATTGCAGGTTGCAAGTGTTACACTAACAACAGTCAAGCGTGTCCAATAAATTTATATAAACACCTAGCCAGCCGTTAGCTTCCAGACGCATTACTTTCCAATGGAGCTGGTGTGGAAATGGTAGGCTTTTTATGACTGCAATTGGGTGCAAGGTGGCTGCCCAACGTAAGTGTATGCCAAGTGGTAAATAGTGATTGGAGGAGTCCAAAAACGAAAATCCTTCTGACTAAAAAAATGAACTAGCAACCTGGCTTCCCTCTAGAAAAGAATGAGTGAGCGGTAGCACAGCGATTGACCCATTCTGAGTAAATATAGGACTCCAAATGAGCACGGCTCTCTGTGGAATATGCGGCAATGTTCCAGATGACACAGGAGCGCACCCGCTACAATCGCTTTCCAATTTACGCCTACCCATCTTCAAACACATGCTGGAAGTCATCACACCCGCTAGAGTTTAATAAAACACACGAAACAAACATTTTCTCACCGTCTGACATTTAAAAAAATTCTGATCAACACACTTATATTGGGTGTATAACTCCTTTGTACCTTCAGAGACCAAAATACCCCCCAAAAAGTTGTCATGGCCTGTTTCCGTGGCAACAAGCAGACAGCTGGTTTCATCTTGAGGTGTACGTGGGAAGAAGGTGCTTGCGAGATTAACACTCCATACTTCCGTTTTAATTTATAAACATGTGATAAAGACATCAGTGGGAAAAGGAAAGAGGAAATGTGGCCCCTTTAACATAGTGTTGCTGTAAACGCCACTGACAGTGAATGTCCAAATTGACAAAGCAATTTTTTACAGATTTCGGTCCGAGCCTTATTTATCGACAGATCCTTCAAAATGGCAGCATCTGAGCAGTCACGGTAAATGATTATTGCAGAATATCGTTGCAACTTGGAATAAGGGGGTATCGCATATTCACCCCCCACGTAATGTTTTAAATTATTAGTATAAACTGAAGCAGTCAAAGGTTTGGAAATACACCACCCTGTAATTCAGTGTTTGTTCTTTTTTTAATCGTGAATTACAGATGAACACTTCAGTCATTGACAATTTGAAGAAATATTGATGGGATTTTTTTGAAAAAAAAAAAAGACATGTTCTATAATTTAGATTTTTCAAGGTAGGCACCTTTTGCCCAGATAAAACCTTTGCACACGTTGGTTATTTTCTCGGTCAACTTTATGATGTGCCATAACTTTCTATTCACACCCTTTGTCAAGAGTTAGCGAGAATTCCTTGATCTCTTAATGTGTTTGTGATTATTTGAATGTGAAGGAGCACATTGTCCAAGACATGGGCCCCCGGTTAGTGTTGTGGAAAGGCCAGGATTCAAAAATCTCATGAACACACTGAACGATTATTTACCAATCCAGCGTTTCTAACCCATCCAAATCCAGATATACCTTTTATTCATGTTAACATAGCTGTTACACAGGGATTCAAACAGTTCCACAAGGCTTTAGGGGACTACAATTGAATGAATAGCAAAACAATAGTGGTCCAAATCTCTAATGACAATCACTGGACAGACAAACAGACCTTTTGTTGTACTGTCCCAGCAATCCCCAGTCGACCAGAGACTCCACCCCTGCGCATTCTTCTTGAGAAAACGTACCCCCGCTGAAGTTAATTACGATGTAGGGAACCGTGAACTTTTGGCCATGGTATTGGCATTTCAGGAATGGCGTCACTGGCGAGAGGGAGCCAAGGAACCATTGACTGTATTTACTGACCACAAGAACTTAGCCTACATCAGCTCCGCCAAATGATTGAACTCACGATGGGCTCTGCTCTTCACCTGCTTTTATTTTACTTTAACCTAAAATAAAGGCAAATGAACCTAAAATTAAGATGAAAGACAGTTTATCTATATACTTCAATAAGACTTCATCTTGCATTACTAAACACATGGACTACCAAAGGCGTGGCATAGCCAAAAAGCAGGATAAACAGATCCAAACAGAAAAACCAAAACAAAAATAGACACATTACCATTTTTAGTAGGTCCAATGGTCATATGAAACACAAGAAAACACATCCAGCTCCAAAGAAATCAACATGTTTTCAGCCACCCCGGAGGGAAGTCAGAGAAGCACATCACAATGTTCCAAAAAAGTTGATTCGTGCTATTTAAACACAGTATGCAATTTACTCTTCTCCAAAAGGCAAACATTTGATGGTCAGCTGTTGAACTGTCTATTGGATTATTTATGCATCCAGATTTACATACTCGATGAAAATTGCATATTTCCCCAGTGTGGGACAAATAAAGGTTATCTTATCTTATCTTAAAAAGCTTGTCATCAAATGCTCCTAAAGCTCAGTTTGATTTTATCATGTTATTTGTCAATAAATGGTGGTCATTTGCAATTTCCTCCCCTTTTTCCACGAGGTTAGCAAATTCTTGGGATATAGCAAGCTCCTCGCGTGGGAATTCAGCTCAATTCTTTTGTCCGTTTGTGGTGTTATTCTTTTGCATCACTTCCGGTTGCATAGAGTGGAGCATTTTGCAGCACTTCCAGTTGCGCAGCGTGATCCGAATAGCAACATAAATTGGGTACGGATGTCACACAGGGCCTGGTTTCACACCAAGCCATCCTGGAAAATGTCACAAAAAAATGACCCATGATTTTATGTGTTTGGGAGGGCGGGTCTAAAATAGACAAAAACTGCAGTTTCATTCCTATTTGACAAAGACTAAAGATACTGCAAGTCATATTTTCTGTGTTGTGATGCTACTGTTGATTTTTAAGTGTCCAGTTTTTCAGATGGAAGACATCACTACTTGGGGTGCTGACAAGCACACGCCCAAACACACCTCAACCACATTCTGTAGTCACACATGCAATGCTCGGAAGCCTCTAAAAGGGAAGTTAAAAACGTCTTTTCTGCTTAGGGTTAATTAAGTTCACATCAAAACGTGTTGTCTGACACAAACACAATTGCATTCTTGCGGTTTTATGTAAAAAATAGGTTTTATACATCAGGAAGCCATTATGTATGTAGATGTGCAATGCTGTCAAGTCATCCTCTATTTGTAGAGTGGTATTGTTAATTGCAGGCATTCAGTTTTGTCTGCACTGACTTATCCAGCTACAGGACAGACAGTGCATGTCTTCAATAATTCAAAGGGTGGATAATAACGATAAAAATAAAGCTCTGACCCTCTTTTGTATTTTAACGCTGACTCATCAAAATACTCATTACAGGAACAGTCCAGCAAGGATGGCCCATTTTTCAATCAAAAACAAGATTTTGTCATCAGAGAAATGTTTGCATTTTCAATTATATCAATTTGTTTTGGGAGAAATCAGTAAATAAATAACGACTCAAATCGCCCTTTTCTGTTCAGCAATAAGGTATAGCCAAGCCCCCTTTCCCTTTTCCCCAAGTCTTAGTGAGAGTCAGCAGAGGAACTGGATGCAATTTGTCCATTCAAAATCATTGTACATACTGGTACATCTCAAATAAAACGGCGATCGATCTGCACCAACATCTCTACTAATTGCCGACTTCAACCTCTGAAAATATCACAAGGATTAACCTCTCCATGGCTGACTTATGAGTGAATGAGGATATGAGCAGCGAACATGTGCTTTCGCTCATGCTGGATCCAAAGACTGGGCTAAAGTATGTGGACATAGTGCAGGAGCAATGACGAGATGAAGATTATGATTTCTTGGCGTCGATAACCGCTCTCTTGACCAAGTTCTCGCGTGATTCACGGCAAAATAACGCAAGGCGGCGAGTTGCCAGTCACGGCAAAATGACCACTGTGTAGAAGTAAAGCATTAATGGTCAATGTCAGGCCACTGACGGATGACGAATGACGGACCAGTAACATTTTGCTAATTGCCCACATCTGCTAATGAGTACAAGCAGTCGAGAAAAGTGATGGGACAGTTTGATGGATAATCTATTGTAAATGCATAGCTCCGGTAACATGGCAAGGTAGTTTTGAGCACATTTCCTCTCCACTCTGGCTCAAAGACACGTCAACAGCAAACTGACACCTCCGCAACAAAAAGTAAAAAATTCCACACTTTGATCCATGACGCTAACTCAACCAGCACTTGCCTACCTGGTCAACATAGAAGGCGGTCCCGGCTCGGATCTCTCTCCTTTGTTTCAAGTCAGTCTCTGTGGTGTCCCTGGACAATGCAACATACTCCACTTCGCGTTTGGTCAACTCCTATCAACAACAAGGAAGGATGTTGGTTCAAATAGCATATGCAAGGAAATATTACTAATTAACGGCACAACGGTGAAAAAACACACTCCGGTCCTTGAGCCACTCTCCTGCATATTTTAGAGGTTTCTCTCCTCCAACACACCTGATTCAAATGCTCAAGTTTATTATCAGGCTTCTGCAGACCTTGCTGATGAGCTGATCATAATTTCAAGTGTGCTGGAGGAGGGAAACATCTAAAACATGCGGGAGAGAGGCACTCGAGGAGCGGAGTTTAACACCTGTGTCTGTTGGATGGCAATGTGCATTTCAGGTTGCATTTGATTGGCCTAAGGCAGATCAAAGCATACAATTCCATTTGAAAATATTTTAGTACCGTAATTCATCAGACATCTTTGCGATACACGTTGCATGTGCCATTATCGTGATGACAATATTTTTGGGATGTATTGCGCAGCCCTATTGGTAAGTATGGGTTATCTCCAATATAGTGCACTCAGTTTATCACACAATGAATCTTTAAAAGTCACTAGAAAAACAGACACATCCCATGATGCATTGTGTTTTTGTTTCCCAGGATATTGTTTGATTATCCATATTTATGAAAGGTCCCCCAGATGACGTTAATTCAGTAAATTATAATTATTATGCCACATCAATGACATAACAGTGCACCTGAGTAGTATTCCATAATTCATTATCATTTTACCGCTGAGAAAAATGCCTACATATCGTGATGATGGCAGTTACACTCCAGGTTTTGCGCACATTTAGACCCATGTTTTCCTCAACCCTTTGATCCAATTCCATATTGTCCAACTTCAGGCACGTTGAACCTCAAAAACTCCGCTGTATTTATTTGAACGAGCATACTCACAAGATATTGCATGGCTAGTGATCTTCTCAATGGTCCTGGGGGTCCGATGAGAAACACATCCTGACCTAAAAGGTCTTTCTGCATAATCCATCGCAGGTGCTGCGCCACAGCCTGGGGCACAAAGTCTGAAACTAACAGCACAAATTGAGGCAAAGCGACAAGTTATAAGACTTATTTATCTTGTCAAGGTCATGTTGGACTCTGATTCTACACACACAAAGGTTTACATACTATGTTTGACAGGAACCAGTTCGGGGTTGCGTGGCGTTTTGAGTTTGTAGGAAATATCCCCTATCTTCACGGTGTCACCTGCAGATACACAAAGTCAACAGACTCACACAACTGGCAGCAATGTCTCTCACACACACACAGTTACTGTAATAACGCAAACACATATGACATCTAATGAGTTAATTTCGATAAACTTGGCCTGTTTGCTTGACAATTCAAATCTAAACCCTTGAGTCCAATAAAGCTGTTGGAATTCATAGCCAACTTATTACTTTGCTAACGTTAGATATTTGCTTAACTGTCGTTGGTTCGCTATAAACATCATAAGACGCTTATACGTGTTTGGTCTTCGTTCTTCTTTAGTCATGTTTGTTTTGTTTTGTTTTTTTACCTGAGGACGTGTTAAGAAGTTTGACCTCATGGCTTCTCTTCATCCAGCCATCTCTCCCCAACACGGCGCCCAAAATAGTCCGCATCCTCCTGGCAGCAACAGCCGCAGCCGTACCGCTATACAACATCTGCGGGTGCATTTATATTTAACCGATGTTGCTTCCGCCGCTGTCACACAAAGTCTACATTCAAAAATAAATAAACAAAGGTGGCTAATGCTATTTGCCCTATACCGGCTTGTTACATGAACGTCACTTCATTATTTTGCAAGTCGGCGTGTTTTCGATGAGGGACAAACTAGGTCCGCTCGTTTAGTGTTTCGTCTGGGAACAAGACATGAATAACAAAAGAATGTTCCATGTTATTAACCGCAACACACTGACTTATATGTAATTTATTCATATCAATCAATCAAACCTAATTTACATTGCCCGTTCCATACAAATGCACCTCAAAGTGCTGTGCAGTTAAAACATTAAAAAATACAAAATAAAAAGATAAAAAGCCAAAAAAATATAAACTGCTGAAAAAAATGAAGGAAACACTTGAAATTACATCGGGCTGTTTCAGTGTTCCCATTATGTTTAGAGCACTGGTTAAAGCTGCAATCGAGGAAGGCGGAAGCCGGATTTATCCCACTCGAATTGTCCGACCTCCGACCTCACAGTGTTTGAGGCGAATATCAGAAAAAAAAAAAACAAAGATGGCTGATTCTGAAAAATTGTTGTTCTTTTTCATGAAAAAACATTTTACCCGAATGCAGCATTAAACCCACGTCGTAACACAGTCATGACACACGTAAACTATAACGTTTGTATTTGTGATCAGCGCTCTCCTTGTTTGGCTGGGTCTTGGTCTTGGTTTGCAGTGGGCTGATACTCTCTCTATTTCAATATGATTAATCAAACAGTGCTCCACAAGATGTTTAAACCTTGTGAAATCTTTTCATATCTTAATCCTGCTTTGATCCTCTCGACAACTTTATCCCTGCCTGGTATGTTCCTTGGTCTTCATGGTTTGCGCCCCCAAATTCTTTTAACAGACCTCTGAGAGCTGGTGCATTTATGAGATAAGAGTAAACCCAGGTATACGTTGTTGATCATCAAATAACCAAATAATGTGCCCCACTTGATATTGATTCTCCACAAAAATTCCAATTTATAGCTGTATGTTTATAGCCTGAAATGTGATACGATATGATGTGAAGCAAGTGATAAAGTTTTACGTTCAATCTTAACAGTATGGCCACTCTTCTGGGAAATGCAGTTGTCTGTATTATGCCAGAATTTGATACGAAGGGGCCTATCACGGAAAATATGAGTTTCACTTTCTTATAAAATAGACACCTGGCATGTACTCAACAACTCTTGAAAAATATAAATTAGTAGTAGATATGTTGTGAAATATATTGTGACATATATTGTGTAGTATTGTGTAGTTTTTTGCAACAAATATTGGGGGAGGGCAATATTTGTTGCAAAAAAATACAATACAATGTCCTGAACGTACAGATTTGGAAACCAGAACGTCAAGAGCTATGACGTCATTCAAGCAAGCGCGGTGGACGCGGATCACGTGGTGCCTGTGGAGGTTCCTTGGAGGAGGCGGGTGGAGCGTGGTGGAGTGGAGACAGGGAGGGGAGGGGAGGCCGGAGGAAGGAAGGCTGTAGTCTGGTCCATTCGGTGCGCGTGTCAGCGCCGTGCGAGCAGTGCAAAGCCGTCCTCCTCCTGGCCGAGCTTGGCTTGTCGTCTCCTCGCAGCGGACCGATCGAGAGAGACGCGGATATGGAGGATGTCTGCAATTACACCCGCAGCCCTGCCTGGGAGGAGCTGGTTAGTCCAACACGCGAGATTTTGAATTTATTGGGAAACAATCACTTTTATTCAATCACTGCTGCAACAACGACAAGTTAAACCACCAGTTGTAATTATGTCACACTTTAAAAGACTTTACTGTTCGGTTTTCGCTTTATTTGACTGCTTGTTTGAATTGAAGATTTAGGGAGCCCAATCGAACCAGTTGTGGCTTCTTTTAATCGAACGTGAACATTTCATTGCTTCGCTGCCAAAAATGAAATCAAAAATGACAATTAACCGGCTTGTTGTGGTGTCGACTTTTGATGATGCTGCGCGGAATGTGCGTGACTACTACGATACATCTTCAAACGCGGTCTTTCCTCTTGACCGATAATACGTGTTCCCCCCGGTCATATGGAAATCCGAGGTCTTCCCCCGCATCATCGTCCTCAGCGATGGCAGCGAAGAGAGACTCCCCCGAATCAGGAAGGGAGCGGCGGATCCAGCCGAAGCCACTTGGTCATAACCTCTCCTCTTGTCACCCCACACAGGAGCCGGATAAAGCTCCCGGGTCTGCGGCGAGGATTCATCCCCATGTGGTGGGCGCTGTCTCGGTGTCCGCTGCTGCGGACGAATCGTCTGACAGCGAGGTGGAGCAGGAGGGTCCCCAGAAACTTATCCGGAAAGTCTCCACCTCAGGACAGATCAGAAGCAAGGTACGAGACAATTGAGCGCATGGATAGATGGCTACTTCTTCTTTTCGTTGACCTGCACACCCTAGTGAGAATTAAAAATGTATTAATTTTGCTTCCATTATTTTGCTACATCAGAGGGGGAAAATCGTAAACAAACATCTAATGTAATCAAGCACCCCTGCAAACTACAATCACAATCATAAACATTTTGTACCATTAATATCGAAGTTACCACTTAAATCAGCAGTATTATCTTTGAAAAGGCAGAATTTTTGTTTCCAGTACTTGTATTGAGTGTGTACGAGTACCAGGGCATGTGCTTACCTCTTCAATTTATTTGATGATTAGAGTGATATAAAATGCAAAATAAATAAATAAACAAAGCATGATTATTATGAAATGATCAGTGTTAGAAATTGATACTTTTATTTATCACAACATGAGGTGCGCTGAAATGAAATCATTTCTTTCACGTGTGCCAACCAAATTAGTGTATTTCTTCTACTTCTGAGGACAGATTGCATTTGTATCAGATTGTGTTTATGTGTACTGTACTTAATATTGTGGCTGGTTAAATGCGCAGAAAAAAAATCTCACTTTGAAAACTCATGCAAGAATTATGTTTTGCAAAAGTCTCTCTTAAAATGTACAGTGTAATGTTGGACTTAGTGAAAAACTTTATTACAGGCATCGTGCTATGCTGCCTAGTTTTGTGAGTATGTTGGGGAGGTTGAAAAGATAAGGTGTACAGTGTATAAGGTGTACATAAAATGTGATATATATA